TTTTAATTAAATTCATTTATTTAACACTAATATTAAAATTAATACAACTTTTTTTATTTTTTTACATATATTTATAACAAAAACAATCCCTAAGAACATATCTTAAAAAAAAAAAAATTCTTTATTTCCTTATTTATTTTTATGGTGTTTTCCTTTTTGTTTATTTATTTTACTAAAATTTATCTACATTTCCATTTCCATTTCCAACCAAGCCAACCATAATGGCTTAAGAATCGTACCTACATACCATCAGATTATGGAAAAACAGACACGGAGAGAAAAGAATCATACTAGTGTAGAAAAAAAAATAAGAACATTAAAAAATTTGTCTACCTGATTGACTGATTCAATGAGATTATATCATTTACAGTCCTTGGGTTTCTTTTTGGGTAATTAATTGAGTCCATTGACTGGACCAGTCCTAGTCCTACCAGCACCTGAAAACCACCCAAGGTCAAGGGGGGTGGAACTGCCCCCCCCCCACCCCCAATTGAATGAGGGGGGCTAGCTAGATAGCAAGGTAATGAATATTGTCATACTGCTGCTAACAAGTATCAACACCCAACCCCTACTCGTTCGGCATACCTTATCAGGCTGTGAGGCTCCCAAAATAGTAGCAACTCTTGCTAAAACTAACTTCAGAATTGCTAACCCTGCAAAGAAGAGACTTATGGCCAGCACGGCTAGCTCTTTACTCTCCAAAGTTGCATGATCACGTGCAACCTTTTCAATATCTGATCTGTAGACAAGGAAATGGAAGGATGTCAGACGGAAAGCCATGGATATTAATGCAATACTAAGGTGCTTCAAAGAAAAGCCAACATAATTAAAAATATTGGACAAATGTTCAGTATGATGGTGAAGAAACTTGTGCTCAAACCCCAGTTAAAATAGAGCTTATTGCAGCGGCACTTGATATGGCAATGAAAGGTACCTAATAATTTTTAATTATAAGCAGTTTTCATGTACCAGTTAAGAAAATGATTACAAGGAAAATGTTTAATGAAAACATATCTGAAGTTCAAAGAAGAAATAAAAAACTTTGTAGTTGCCAAAGGAAAAAAAAACAAAAAGAACTCAAAATATAAAAGGTAATGACAACATTAACAAATAATAGGTGGCAGCTGTTCTTTAGAGATGACTGAAAAGTAAACAAAATGGGGCGTAGAAATTCTAATTGTAAGGTACATTTATTTCTAACCTCAACATGCTATTTTCTCTGACCAAAGCATCCAAAGTAGATGACACGGTAGCTTTCCACGATTCCAGGTCTTCAAATTCTCTTTCCTGCCAAAAGAAAATGAATGAAAGATAAATATGACGTCAAACAATCAGCTTCCTTTTACTAGCTTTTATCTCCATTTTTAATGGAAAATAAGGGAAGGAATAGAATAGGATAGTACCATTTTTTCCTTCCATTGAAGAACATCTATTATTTCTTCATTGGCTTTACGCAAAAGTGGTGCAACTCTTGATAGCTCTTTCTCAAGCTCTGGTAAAACATCCCCTTGTCTTCTGTTCAATTCCTTAGCATACTCCTCCAGGACAGATAAGTTCAACTCAAGGGACCGCACCTTCAGCATCAAGATCCTCAGAACTGTGTCAGAAGGTATTCTGCCAACTGGCTGCTGTCTAACTTCAATTAAAGGATCAGGAATCTTGCTTGTTCTGACAGGATTCTTCATCATATCTTCATTCGGCCTTTGAGAGTCCTCTTTGTTTTCTGTTCCTACAGCAGCAGTCTGAGTTCCACTTTGCACTTCATTTCTTTCACCATTGATGGAATCCACTTCTGGTTTTGAAGATGGCATTGTGGTTGAATCAGGTTTTGCTGATTTAAGAGTAGCAGGCCCTTCAATTAGATCTTCAAGCATTCTCTCAATTGCATCAACACCATATACCTCTACAACACTCAGCGTGCAGTAAAACTCCGAACCATAATGACTGAGTAAGTTTAGTTTCAAGTACCTTAGCCATTTGGGTTCAGGAAGGGTAAAGGTTTGGATTTGCTTGACATTTGCGGCTACAAACTTGCCCAATGGATACCATGTCTCAGTTGGATAATTCAGACTACCCCTCAGTTCAAATTCCTTGAAGTTTGAAGAATAGTGTTCCAAATTTGCAATTTTGACAGCATCAACCAGAGTCTCCTCAGCAAGTTCAATCACAACAAACATCTCCTCCACAGAACAAGGATTTCTGAGATATTTATCATGATCCTTTCCCAATATGTTACTTGCTCCTTTGGCTTCTTTGTTTTGAGCAACCACTTTTGCACCTTTCATTGCAGAAGCATAGTTGTACTCAGTTCCATCAGGTTGAAGACGGTGAGTGATGTTAATCAGTTGGCTTGGTGCATCACTGCCTTTGGCTTGCTGAGTTATGTTCCGGAACTCATCAAGATTGAGATAAGTAGGAGAAGTCTTAAGATCAGTTAGCTGTTTTGGTTCACTCGTACTCCGTTCTTGTTGTACTTCACATATAAAAGCCTTGTAACCCAAGACACTCAAAATCACATCCTCAATTCTATTTGTCTGTGGGAGAGAATACTCACGCTTGACGACATGCTGATAAATAGTGCAGTTCATATGGCTCACAGACTCATTAAGATCTAGGAGCATCGAATTGGTACAGTTATTGCTTCCATTTGGATCATATGAACATGGATCATTACAAAACTTATCCTTGCAAACACTAGGGCAAGTCGTGCTTCTGTCATGAGTTGAATTCCCTGAAGGAGGCACACTGAAATCAATGCAATGTAATGCTAGGAACAAATAACTAATTAGGGGTAAGACTCAACTATTGTGCAATTTTCCTTTGCCGTTCAGGCATATGGAATTACCTAAAAGAACAAAATATGAAATCATCAAAAAGGAAAAAGTAACCTCATTGCCGGTACAAGTTACAAAAATTATAAAGCTAAAGAAAGGTAAAACAACAGAAGTGACTAATGATACTGAGCAGACCCTATTAGAAAAAATCCCATGTGCCACACATGGAAACTAGCATGCTGGTCTAAAAAGAAAATCAATTGAAAGAAAAATTGAAGCGTTTTTAAGCTCCACCACAAGGCAGAAGATCCATCCTTTATGTTTCACCAAAGCACATACGAATTCTGGCTGATCTAGCAAAATCATTCAACTGAATAACTCAAAAAATTCTTTGAATGAGCAGCTACTAGCTAGCTATCTATGTGAATTCATTCCTATTTTAAGAGAATAGAATTAAAGGTTTCAACTTTGTCAATTTCCTGGTAACCAAGCAGAGAAATAGAAAACAAAATCAACAAGACATAGAGGAAAGGGGGTAAAAGTAAAACCCAAAACAAGGGTCAACCTAACCTGCAGAAACTGAAATCAAACCATAAATAGAAAACAGGTACAATAAAATGCGTGAGAATTAAAATGGTGATTACCTCCATTTTCATGGCTGAGGCCGAGTCTAGAGTAGAACAAGAAAACAAGGCACCAAAGAGAGAGAATTACAGATAAGGAGAGCTCGTAGAAATTCTTAGCACTGGTGGGGTTCTTGTGGTCGCGTTTGGAATGGTGTCGGTGCTGCTGCTGAGACATTTGACGTAGACAATGGAGGTTGAGTTCCGAGGTTTCTTCATGTCTCATCTGTTGGGTTTGTTGTTTGTGCACGGAAGAGAAGAGGAGGAGAAAAGAAATGAGAAAGAGAAGAGTAGAACGAAAGAAATGTGTAATTTGGTGGTGATTAGGCCTTAATCTTGCGCAAACTTCTTTGTACCATCTAAACTCCGCTTACTTAGCCCAGAAATAGGAGTAAAATAAAATTAATTCATGTTCTAATTTTCTTTAATCGGAATAGAAGAAAAATAAAATAGTACTCTCTTTTTTTTTTTAATTTCCGAAAGATATTATATAACTTTTTTATTTACTGTTTT